CCATGCACCTAACTGAACTTAATAAGATGTAAACTATAATAATCGTTGGCCCAGTCGTCACTCAACCATTAACAGCGAAATAGCCTTGCTAGGAATCCGAGCCAAAAGTGGGAATTCCCTCTTTACAGAGTCGGGTACAGGAAGGGTTCAGGGGTGTTAGCTGGAGAGAAACCCAAACTCGTAACTGTTTATTGAGCCTTCAGCCTCAGACAAAAGAACCGACTGAATCCACGGGACTGTGAGTGCCCTGCTGGGTGGGATCTATGTGTCGACTCGCTCAGTAATCGGTGACCGGTTGAGCTGTTGTGACAGTTTGGCACATCTTCAAGCCCAACACGAACCACCGGTATGTTTCCAACTTTTGCTTTCAGTATGTTTGTCCTCACCTGACAGCTGGAAACACGCAGGTGTCTACTGAGATGTTAGCAGCTGACCCTGAGATCTGAAATGATGTCCTTCTGTGTCACTCGAACCAAAAACTAAAGTATCAGCTCTCCACCAGTTACTGCACAGCCTTCCTGCTGCAGCTGTTTGTCAGATGTCAAAGGTGGAGCGAGCTAACCAAAGTCATGTACGCCCGACCATCTGTCCTTACTCACTGCGATTCTATATTCATGTGAGCAGCAAAAATGCCCTCACAGCCATTCGTCTGTGTCATGCATTTTTCATTGCACACCAGGGGATATAAATAGAGGCATTCACCTTGAGCTCCTCGCTCACATACACAATAATGGGGACAATTGATTTAGCGAGGCTGACCTTGTAGGTGTCTTTTTCTGAGACTCGTAGGTTGTGACTGACAAACGTTCAGCCTGGCTGATTGTCAGAATGAACCGGAGCTCGCTATTTCACTAATGACATCTGCGGGTGTATCTTTGGATGAGGACATAGGATAACGCTGCTTGTTTTTATTATCATTCAGCAGTCCAACGGGCAGCAGGTTGTGTTGTCAGTAGGCCGTCTCCTCCTTTATCGGACATAGAAGCGTCATGGCTGTTTTTAGAGTTCTGCAAAAGGACTTTTTTCTGATCCAGCATGACTGATGTGGGTTCAGTGCACAGATAAGGTGAATAAAGTTGGATGAACTTCAGTGGGGCAGTCTTCCTGCACACAGATTTGTTTTGTTTTGAATATTTCTTCACACCCCTCCTGCTCTTGGTGAACTCCGTTGTCTTCCTTCCTTATTCTGGCCCACTTGTCAACCAGTAGGCATTTGACCCATGCATATATCATCCTCGTTGGATTTTGGAGGGCTACACGGGAGCGT